ACAGGATTATTTTTAGCTATTCTTTATGTTGGAATCTGTAGATTACTTTGAGGAACCTTGACATGTTTACAGTATTAAATCTTCCAATTCATGAACATGATGGCTTTCTGTACCTATGTCATCTTTGTGTATAGTATTTTGCAGTTTTAGATGTACAAATTTTGAACTTCCTTTGTTCAATTTATTCCTAAATATCCCTTTGTTTTGATTTTTTGTTTGAGGCAGGGCCCCTTGTATACAGTTCAGACTTGCTTTGAGCTTGTGACACTCTTGCCTCAGCCTTTGAAGTGCTGAGATTACAGGTGTGCACCACCTTGCCCGGTCCAAATATTCTTCCTTCTGCTGTTGTAAATGGGATTGTTTTCCTGCACTTTCAGTTTTCTCGTTGTGTAGGAGTATGATTGCTTTTGTTGTAGTTGATCTTGCATGCTTCAGCCTTGTACTTAATAAGTTTTTAGAGCACGCCTTAGGAATTCTACATAAAACATTAGGTATTACTTCTTTCCACTTGAGATGCTGTTCATTTTGTTTTCTTGCCCGATTGCCCTGGCTAGCACCCCAGCACCCTTGTCACCTCTACTTTTTTTTTTTCTCCTTTTTTTCCAGTTCCATTTCTGTTACTGTTTTGTTTTTAGCTCTTGCCTAGTAAATTTTGATAGGATTGATCATTGCAATTGTAACACAACTTTCCATTTTCCATACTTTATCTATGTGTCTCATTTTAAAATAATGGAAATAGAAACAGTAACCAATATGAACCTTGTAAAATATTGGTCATTTTTCAATATGCTGTGGTTATTTATTTTTTCTATAGTTCTAAAGTTCTGTGCCCATTATCTGAAATTATGCAACTTTGTTTATTGTGTTATTGGGATTGAACCTAGAGCCTGATGAAAGAAAGCTGAGCAAGCATGCTACCATCCAGCCACATTTCCAACAACTGTAATTTTAGTTTTATTCATATTTATTTGATGCCATACCTTTTTATAACTCATTCCCTAGCGTTTCTGATTGCTTCCTTTGTTTTTCTCTTACTAGAAGAAAGCAACATGTCATCACTGTATCCTGTATGTTTTGAAGCTTCAGATTTATTCTGTGTGTTTTATCCATTCTTCCTGAAACCCATTGAATTCCTGTTGTAGTTGGCACCAAATTCTTATATGCATCTTTCATTTCTCAATGCCATTTTAACTGTCCTTTGTGTCAATGTCCTATGACATTTTATTTAAAAAAAATATACCATCATGTCAGAACAACAACAACAGAAAAGTAGACTTCAAATGTCCTGTAGAGACAAAGTGGTATGTGGATTATTGTGAAATTGGATTAGGTGGCAAAACGTTGTCTTTGCTATGCAATAGAAAAATAAATACTTTTTTGATATTACCTGTTTAGTCATTGACTGTATTTTGAGCTCGTACAAAAGTAATAGAAAAACATATTTAAAGCACAATTTCTCATCACAGTAGAATATACTTAAAATTGTTGAAAAATAAAATGAAATTTGCCAAAGCAAATCTTCAAGTAACTTTGTTTATTTACTTAATTGATTGTTTTGCACAGACTCTCACTATATAGCTCAGGCTGGCTTCAAGCTTGCAATTCTCCTACCTCAGCCTCCTGAGTACTGGGATTATAGATATGAGTCACTGCCTCCAAATCCAAGTAGCTAATATTTTAACCAAAACATAGAAGGCCATTTGCCAAAGGAAGTTTAACTGAACTGTGTTTGGTTGTAGCAGCATTTTAAGAACTGAGTTCTGTTTCTCTTGTCCTTAAGTGACAGTTACATATAATCCCAGCGCTTGGGAAACTGAGAGAGAATTACAAGTTCTGGGCTAGCCTGGGAAATTTAGCAAGACCTCCCTCCCCATCTCAAATTAAAGTTTATATATATAAAATGTGTATAAATGTATTGCCTTCATGTGTGTAAATGCACCGATGTTGTGCAATGCTCACTGAGGACAGAAGAGGGCGTCAGATCTCTGAAACTGGAGTTACGGATGGTTGTTAGCCATCATGTGGGTGTTGGGATTTGAACCCAGGTCTTCTATAAGAACAGCCAGTGCTCTTAACTGCTGAACCATCTCTCCAGCCCCATCAAAATAAAGTTTTTAAAAAGAAAGGACTGGGAATTTCATCTGATGGGTAGAGAGCTAGCCTCACTTGCATGAGACCCTGGGTTCAATTCCTAGTACTGCACCCCTCCCCCATCAAAATCAACACGGCAAACAATTTTGGGTTTTGTTTTTTTTTTCCCCTTAGCGCTTATGGTTATATTGATGCTGAAAAGTTGTTAGAAGGATCAATGCCAAGTTTGAACTGAAGAATGAGTAAAGTTGAGTTTTTAAAAATGGGTTTTTTAAAAAGTTGAAAAAATAGTTTAACATAACTTGACATTATAGTCTATACATATAACAACTGACAGTATAAAAATATCTGAATAAGAAAGTTGAATAAAACAAATTGGCAAAACTTAAGAAAATGCAAAGTTTGTTTAAAGAGTATGGTTATTGGCCAGGCTTAGTGACACAGTCCTTTAATCTCAGCACTTAGAAGGCAGAGGCAGGCAGATCTCTTGTGAATTTGAGACTAGCCTGGCCGACCTAAGTGAGTTTCAGGACATCAGGGGCTACAGGGAGATCCTGTCTCAGAAAAAAAAAAAAAAAAAAGTAGTACTTGTATTTTTCTCTGTGGAATGAAACTCTGTGGGAAGTATTTGAATCCAGCTTTTGTTGTTGAACCAGCTTTGTAAACCATGAACTTTCTTTGCTCAAACAGACTCAGCAATCATAATTTCTATGACATTTTGTCAGAAACAGGAACTAATTCCTGACTTTTCAATATAATATAGCAGCTTGGCAGCAGCAAAGATTGCAGAATTTTGGGGTCATACCTGAGACTGAAACATTTTTGAACAAGAACCTTTCTCAGCCACTAGTTTTCAACACAAATGGCTTTTTGCTACAGATTTAATATTGTGTCTTAAGGAATTCAGTTTGTTCCATACTTAAATGAGAAACCCATACTGTGGTCAGGTCACGTGGCAAAGGTTAACCAACTCTAAATGCTCTCCATGCTATCAAAAGGTAAGGTCTGAGATGTCTGCTTCCAGGCAGATGTGGAACAGATACATGTTCTGAGCTCTCTCTCTAATTCCAATACTTTGCTATTTTACCTCCTTTTAGTACAGGAATTTGTACTTTTAGAAAATAATTATTTTGCTTTTACCGTATTGAGTCTCAGATAGGAGACAAGCATGCTGGCTCCTTGAAGCAATAAAAGAAAAGAATGATAAATCTCTACGAGGGGGCTGGAGAGATGGCTCAGCGGTTAAGAGCACTGACTGCTCTTGCAGAGGGCCCAGGTTCGATTCCCAGCACCCACATAGCGGCTATGAACTGTCCTTAACTCCAGTTCCAGGGGAATCCGAAGCTCTTCTGACATCTGCAGCATTGCATGACACAGGTGCACTCACATAATATGCAGGCAATACACTCGTACACATAAAATAAAAATAATTAAGAAAATATTTAAATAAATAAATAAATCTGTACAAACTTGTTGGATAATTTCATGTTAGGAGAAGATCAGTTTTGCCACTAACTGCGAACAGCCATCTTCCCAGTGAA